TCCATCTCGGTGAACGTAAGTTCCGCAGGGCTGTCACTGCTGCTGCAGCTCGCTTCATACCGGCAGGATGTATATCGGACCCACGTCCAAACTTCCCTGCCGAAGCGGCTGTTCTAGCCGATGAGCGTGATAGCCTTCGTCAGGCCGATCCCGGAGATCCCCGTATCAGGGATCTCAACGCGGAGATTCGGCAACTTGTAAACGTACATAAGCGGAAGAAGTGGGAGGAGCATCTGAAGACTTGTAATTTCACCTCTGGTGTGAGCAAGCTTTGGTCAACCGTGAGGTCATTGTCTAATCCGACGAAGCACGACGACAGAGTCGAAATTTCCTTCGGCGACCATGCTTCGTCGGACCCGGAGCGATGCGCGAGCTATTTTAGCCGGCAGTTCATACTGCATCCTCCGGTGGACAAAGCCAAGCGTCGAGTGACCAGAAGGCTGCACAAACTGCCAACAAATTGTGCCCCCCTTGCTTTCACTTGCGGTGAAGTTCAGGTGGCCATCGGGAAGGCGAAAGCCTCCAAAGCCATGGGTCCCGACGGAATATGCATGCTGATGCTGAAAAATTTGGGTCCTGCGGGGGTAGCGTACCTAACGGAGGTCCTCAACTTGTCAATGGCCACTCTCATCATCCCAGACATCTGGAAGGTGGGGAGAGTGGTCCCACTGCTCAAACCGGGGAAACCTGCCAACAAAGGAGATTCGTATCGTCCGATTACACTCCTTTCCCCGGTAGCGAAGACACTCGAGGCCTTGCTACTCCCGTACTTCACAAACCACCTGACCCCAGCGAAGCATCAGCATGGTTTCCGTAAAGTGCACAGTACAACAACAGCACTTAACGCCATAAACACTCAGATAACTCGTGGCCTTAACCGTAACCGTCCCTGTGAGAGAACGATTCTAGTAGCGTTGGACTTGTCAAAGGCGTTTGACACCGTCTGCCATTCCACGCTACTAGAAGATATAGAGGCCTCCTCTCTCCCACAGAGGCTCAAACGGTGGTCGGCAAATTATCTGAGTGGTCGACATTCGTCGGTAATGTTTAGAGACAAAACGAGTAAGCAGCGAAAAATAAAACAGGGGGTTCCTCAGGGTGGTGTCCTTTCCCCGCTACTGTTTAACTTTTATATTTCAAAGCTCCCTCAACCACCAGAGGGAGTCTCGATTGTCTCCTATGCCGACGACTGCTCGATCATGGCGACTGGGAATGGAATTGATGACCTGTGTTTGAAAGTAAACGGCTATCTCTCCGAACTTTCTCGCTTCTTCACTGCAAAGTGTCTAGCCCTCTCCCCTACGAAATCCTCCGCGACCCTGTTCACAACCTGGACGAAGGAGGTCAGGCTACCGCTGGGGATTCACGTCGATGACACACCAATTCCGACGGTGAATAACCCCAAAATACTCGGAGTAACATTCGACAGCCTGCTCTCCTTCTCTGCGCACTCAACCGCTATTGTCAATAAAGTACAGAGCCGCAACAAGGTCCTCAAGTCGCTAGCCGGCAGTACTTGGGGCAAAGACAAAGAAACGTTGCTGGCAACATACAAGGCAATAGGCCGGCCGGTTTTGAACTACGCGGCGCCGGTGTGGTCGCCGGGGACTAGTAGGACGCAGTGGACGAAGCTACAGACTGCACAGAACACCGCATTCAGGACAGCGACAGGATGCCTCCTGATGTCGCCCGAAAACCATCTCTACGGCGAGGCTCAAATGCTCCGCGTAAAGGAGCACAACATAATGCTCTGCAAGCAGTTCCTGATCGGGAGCCACAGAAGTGGCCACCCAAACAGACAGCTGCTTGCAGAGGAGCCCTCGCCTAGGCACGTCAGGAGGCATCTATATGAACTGACGGACGAAGTCCAGAGGTTCATCAAGCAACCTCTGGACCCGACAGCTTACCGACAGGCCCTGAACGGCATTCACAGGGAGTCAGTCTCGAGTTATGTAGACTCTAGACCTGTGAATGCCGTTCTAGGCATACCGCCCCGGCACAGACGAGACGGAGCTTCATCTGCCTCGGGAGACTCGTACGACACCAGCACAACTTCGCTCCGGCTACTGCAGCAGGTTAAACTCCTACCTGAGTAGACTGAATGAGGATGTGCCAAATGAATGTCCGGCATGCGGAGAGATCCAACATGACTCGAAACATCTCTTCGCATGCCCGGAAAACCCGACAACCCTAACGGCCTTGTCCCTGTGGACCAACCCCACAGAAGCTGCACGCTTCCTAGGGCTGCCGTTAGTAGAACTTGACGACAACGACTGAGATACCAACCGTCCTGGGCGGGGTTGTTGTAGCCGCTACAACAACAACAACAACAACGCGACACTGCAGCGGCACTACGCGACACGGCGCGACACTTTTTGGTATATCGCACTGAAACTGCAGCGGCGCGACAATTCGCTGCAAATGTTTTTATTTATTTGTGTCAAAACCTTCAAACAAGATGGATGCCAGTGACGCTGATGTAATGTTAATGCCTTTTATTTTTATTTTTCTTGCGAATTCTCAAATATTATGTTTCTTTGCATACAATTTTCTTCTTGAATGATATGCATGTGAATATTCACTCAAAATTGGAAATCCAATTACTTCAAGTTGAAAATATAGTACGAAATGTTATGTCGTTCCGCTAGGAATACCGCACTATGCGGCACCGGAACTGCGCGACACCACGCGGCGCGACATTTTTGCCTAGTTGGTCAACTTTGCCGCGCAGCGTTTGCATGTATTCTTATGGAGCATACCGCACTACGCTGCAGCGGAGCTACGCAACATGCACCCACTTCTAAGCAAGGGTCTACACATTACTTTAACACCCACTTTTGTAATTTTTGATCACTAATTTATTTACAAATTGGGTTTGAAAAATGCCTTTTTTTGTAAAATTCGGAAATTAGCGTACATTTATCACTCCTATTCTCCTTAAAGCAGCCACTTCACCAATATATTTTTATATTTCCCTTCACTTTACACTTTACTCGATTAGTTATAACTTTCTTTATGACTTTAATATTATGTTAATATGTTATTAATTATAACATTTTCAATGAAGTCTTCAAAAAGTCGCCTACTTTTTTCTGACGTTTTATGCTGCACAGCTTTTTTGATGCTTTTGCGAGCGTGCCTGCTGCAAAAGATCGGCTCTTCGTGAATTGGCTTTTAATGTGCAATTGCAAACATTACAGCAAGCCTCGTAGCCTCAAGTGTTTACACAACAACACAAGAATACGGGATCCTTAGACTGCTTTTACACATCGCTCGCATGTTGAAGAGAGGGGTGAGAAGAAAAGGGACGAGTACACATGCGTCTGTACCGTCAAGTCGTTTCAGCTTTCTTGCTTTGCTTTTGGTATTTTCGTTGCTTTCCATTTAAAGAACCAAAAACTTGAATTCAACAGAATTGAAACGTGTAAAAGCAAATAGAAAACGCAAAAGAGAATGAGCAAGAATTGCTTTCAAGTACTTGAAACATGTAAATCGGGTGTTAGTCCAAGAATCCAAAAAAAATCTTTTGAAGCAGCTGCAGCAAAACACAAAGATTGTAAAGATTTATTAAGAAAATAATTCAAAATCAGTTCTACTTATGAGCTTTAGTAACAAAGAAAAATTACTGGGAAGTTAAAAAACATAATTTTTTACAAAAAAAAAACGTCCAAACGTCAACAGGGTACAAAAAACGTCCAAATGACGTTAAAAACGTCAACCTGGCAACGCTGCATGTAGCATTCGTGCGTGATCCATCAATCCATCAATATGAGCTGTGTTTTCGTATTCTCCAGCAAAAAATATCCAGTAACTTGCCAGTAACCAAATTTCGGAGAGTAAGCCAATATTTACTGCTAGTGAGTGAAATATACAAGAAAGTACGAAAACGCAAAACCAGCACGAAGTTGCTAGTTTTATGAACAGCTGATTAATTTGTTATTTTTCGATGCAATTTTCTTTGAAAACTAGTATTTTCCACCTTATTATAAATTTAAATGGGTTTATTTTGTCAATTGCAACTCTAAAAGCACCACAAACAATTATTTTGTTAATGTGAATTACATTAAGCATCATGCCATCAGCTGTTTTTCTTATGCAGTGTTTTTGCTGCATTTAAAATGCAACATTTAGCACTTTCGAACATATGTTTTCGAAGAGCGTTCATGCTATCGCATTTAGAAAATGTACATTTACGCGAGATCGAAATCGTATGCTTTTGACAAACAGCCGTGTTCCAGTCGCTTATTCAGATCCGTATATATTACGAACAACTCTCACGCAGAAGATAATGTGCAAAAACCCTACTGAAAAGGAAAAAATAAATTTTAAACCAAAAGTTCAATACAAAAACTTGAATTGTTTTAACGATAACCGAACATTTTTTTTGTATATATTCATTTGTCGATGCTGTCAATTGAAATTTCCTCACTTAATTAGGAAACAAAACAAACAGAGTTGATCACAAAAAGTGATACAGATTTCTATCAGCATCACATCGATGTTGAATTTGCTTAAATTTTCTTTATCCAAATAATGTAAACAAATAAATGAAATCTCGATCGGCGATCACTGAAACGCAGCTAGTCACTGTATACTCGAAAAAGCAATGTTGCCACTTTTTCTCATTAAACCATGTTCCAATCGTGGAAATTTTGGAAGATCACAGGGTTGCTTTTAGCATTTAGATTCTTAATGCAAAAATGGAGTTGCATTTAGGTGGCGAATTTTGTATGGATAAATGTACATTAAGAGTAGCATTTAGAGCTAAATGCGCTAAATGTGCTTTTACGCGTAAGCAAAAACAGCCCATTACTAGCAAATAGTTGCTAGTAAAAATTTATCCAGTAAAACTTGCTAGTTCAGCTGTCATTTTTGCTCTCTCAATTTCCCCTCTTTTGCTAGTTTCTTGCAAGTTTTTGCGTACGAAAACGACATCCAGTCAAAAAACAGAAAATTAGTACTGGATGTACTGGATAGTGCGTACGCGAACAGGGCTATGGATCGCGATCCAAATGTCGTGATAATTACTGACCGTGTGACAGAGCCCTAAGAATTAAAATTTTGTAAAATACAATACAATCCGGAATAGTGGAGCAAACTATTAATTACAGCATAACATTAATATATGATTTGTTTGCTGACGTAAATTCAAGGGTTATCTGTAAATCTTACCCGTGGTTTAATAAGAGAAATGAGAACATTAAAAATCCTAAATTCAGAACAAAATTCCGTAGTATGTACGGTAGGATTGGAAGATTTAAGCGTTATATTAGACTGGTCTCATAGCAAATTGCTCCAGATGCAGAGGTTTCTCAACTGTTACAAGAAGATAAGCCTTGTAGCACCAATGTGCTGCAGAAGCAAACATTGAACTAAAGTCGCAGGTCCCACTAGTGTTTTTTTAATAACTGGTTATAGTGACCTTAAAACTATGAAATTAAGTGACACTGGAAGTGATTTCGCAGGATTTGCATCGCTGGAAAGCTCAAAAGGAAATAATTCAGAAAGACAATACGCAACAAAGAAAAATATCAGTTATTCGGGCATAAAAAATATAAAGTTTCAACAAGAGAAACAAAAAGGCCAGTCCATGAATTTATTGTACGAAAGTTTGGGCAATGAATTTGGAGTTGGTGCAGCTGCAAATAAACGTAGGAACCTGTCAAAAGAATCGCAAATGCTTGGTAAGAACTTTTATATTAGCTGATGGATACAAGTTACTCGGGTGGGCTTTAAATTGGTAACCCCGGAGTACAGCATTAAGGAAAATATGGGAGGAAACGGAGGGTCTAATAGTTCCCTGTATGTAGTTTCAAAGCGCGCAACCTTATAGTTTTTAAGGAATTTGCTGTTAAAGTTTGTAATTTTAACCAATTTGTATGGCACTATTTTACAATGTATAATAGTGGAATTCGCTCTTTTACGTATTCGTTGTATGTGTAATTGTAACTGCATGAGCGTATGATTTGTTGTTGCTAGCGGTACATCAAATACACATGCAACAACAGGATACAGGAGAATTCTATTTCGTAAGGGTTATAATCCTAACAGGCTAACCTAATATTCACGCACGCCGCCAACATTCCCACGACAGCCGGTTCTACGTACCGGAATGACTCGGGTTTCACCCGACCAAGGGCTGTTGTTTCGGCGATCTAACCCCGTTTAAGTCGGCGAAGTGTCTCAGAAGTTGTCCGTCCATAGGGCAACATTCACTACGCATTCTCCTACTCAGGGCTGGCATCGAGTCAAACCCTGGGCCAGAAATATACACCTGCTGTGTATGCCGAAGACGTTTACACCACAACTCCACCTCAGTCAAGTGTAATGCCTGCGAGGGGTGGAGTCACCTCAGGGTCTGCTCGGGACTACGGACACACAGACAGTGGACCACGTCGTACGTGGCCCCCTGTTGCTCAAACAGAGCAGCCTCCACGGCAAACCATAGTCCGCCCGTGCAGCCCCACACACTCACACAGCAACCACACACAGTCGCCACAACACAACAACATAATAACACCACCGACCGTACCACAGCCACCACAGACCGTACCACAGACGTCAATTGCGTCGCTCCCCACCACCACCACAGGGCGGCAATCACCTCAGCAGCACACACAGCCAACGGCGGCAAGAACATACACCTCACTTACACCCCACATCACGACACGTCTCCCGAACCACATGAAGCTCCTCCAATTCAACTGTAACGGGCTACAGAGCAAGATTGAGGAGATAACCGTCTTCATGTGTCGGCATGGTATATTAATAGCGAATAGAAATGTTGATACAAAAGTTTTTCCGCGATATTCATCATACAAATTTATCATCTTACTTGTCCGTATGTCGCTCTGGAAAGAAATATATTTTAACTGATATGTTTTCTTGAAAATAAATGCAAATTTACCTATTTTTTCCACCGGCAGGCACGAATATGATATTCAAAACAGAAGCAATGACAACGAATTTTACACACATTGTTGTATTTTAGCGCAAAACGATAAGTTTCACAAATATTTTAAATTATTGCCTGGAACATACACATTTATCGTTATTATTGGAAATGCAAGACTTGGCACGCATTTTTAATTTCTTTTTTAT